CTCTTCAAATATTCATTTCCGGAGATTTAACAGAAACTAGAATGAAAAATAAATGAACTTTACTAGACAAAAGTATCCTACATCATTACCAATTAAAGGCAACGCAATAATTTCATTAATCACCTTTGAATCTCTCAATTTCCATTCTACTTCGTTTCTTTAATCAATTTTATCATATCACTTCCAAATTTATTACGAAACAACTTACTAAACCAAAATCAAAGGGAAACTTCTCTTTTTTCACCGTTTTCCAACACAAAAGTTTATTATGATAAACGTCTAATTCAACCTCATTCATTATACAATTATTATACAATTATTATACAATTATACAATTATTCCTCGCTCCAATTTTATTCTTTATCTCACTAACCATGTTAACTCTAGTCAAACGTTATTTATTTCCATCCTTCCGGAAGCGAGCCGAGAGAAGTAATGCATTCTCAAACGTTCATTTAAATTCCAACAACCGAATTACTGTAGCTAACGAAGAGCATTTGCAAGAGAAAAATTCATTTCGCCTGAGACAAGATATCCTTTTCGATTCCGTTGAATCGAGCAGTGGACGTGCTTCAACGCCACGGCCGAGAAATATAAAAACCGGAGGCGGGCGGATTAAAATTAAGGATTCATTTGATGTTTCAATCATGTTTCCGTGGAACGGCGCGCCGGCAATCTGCCGACAGATTTCTTGCTAAAGGCGCATCAAGATCTCGCGAGCCGTAGGCGTGATAATCGCCATCGCGACCTTACCGAGCTAGTTAACCTATGCTAAGGGCGCTTTTTCATCGCCGGCGACTCAGCGTGTTTGAAGACGCGGCCCCGAGAGGAAGGATGATGATACCATTCTTCACGTTTAAGAGGATTAGGCTGCTTATGATTGCCGAGATCTGGCTTTCGCTTCCTGTCGACAACACGGTTTTTAGAACGCCGACAAAATGGCGGCACAGGGATATTAATTGCGCCCGTTTTTTTTATCGAAAGTGGCGTGGGCCATTTTTGAGGAAAACGAGCTAATGGTAGTTCAGTGAGATATAGGTATCCTTCTTTTATGTTTATAATCACACTATCTATGGTGTACGATATTTTCATAAATTAATCGAAAGAAGTTTAACTTGATTCAAAAGAAGTGAGATGTTATCGTAAAAATGTTTTCTTTGAAAGTGAAATAAGTGCAACTAAAAAATCGTTCATTTTCTTTAGTAATTTTATATCTCACGATATTATCATCTCTCAAGATATTTATATCTCATTAAAAGTACTATTAATTCATTTTTTTCAAAATGGACTTGTACCACTTTCAGAAAAACGGCATAATTATATCGAGATATAATTATTATTATTATTATTATTATTATTATTATATTATTGGAGTTTATTATTTGTTTTGTATTATATACTTTACATCATTTTTCATTGTATATTACTGTTATTATTATTGCACGTATCTTGCTGTTACGCTGAGGGTTTTTATGTAAAGTACAAGATTGGAATTTTTAAAAATTGACGTGAAATAAATTGGTGGAGTTTACAGGAATTTTAAATCATGAAACTCAGTGATAGAGCAATTAAATTGGAAGTTAAATATTAAGATATTAATGTTGCCGGAGTAATTGAAGTGTTCGCAGTCCAACATTTTCACGAATTACAGAACCAACCGCATGCAATGAACAAAAGCTCCAAACACAAGATCAAAAGGCCAAAAAACAAAAGCTACCACGAAAGTACAAGCGTCACGCACATTTCAGAATAAAAAATCAACATATTCCACCCTCGGAAAAACAGATTCTCCCCGCGAAAATGATAAGCACCCACGTTCCCGCAACCATTTATATTCTCGTTGAGCTAATTAACTCGAGCAGCTAGGATTTTCCATCAAGGGGAAGAAAGTGATTAGCAAAAATTACGCTCGAGTTCAGAAGGAAAATTCTTCCCGACCGAGACGACGCGTTCTTCTTTCGATTTTCTAGTGAACTCGACATCGGGGTTTCGCGAAAGTTATTCAAAATAAGGAATAAATAATAATAAATAAATTCTATCTATTTGTTATTTTCGAGTAATGAATAGTTAATATATTCATCATTTTAATTTATTCGCCAGTTATCATGTCTTACTTTTATCCGATTCACCTCGGTCTACCATAATTTAACACATTCACATTGGGACATTTTTCTATGTATTTAATCACAGATTATATTAATAATAATGCTTACAAAAATGAGTTGGGTTATATTCTTTTTCGAAGTGTCTAATTTTCTTCAGTTGCTAATTGTGGGTAAAAGTTAATAAATAATTTGAATTTGAATAATTTGAGTTTCATTCGAATCGCGCAGGCTGTCAAATAGCAAGCAAGTTTCTTTCCCTACAGAAAAAATGAAGTCAGTATGTCTGCCTAATAATTCGAGATATACAACACAACAATTAGTATTACCAGATGAAATCAATTATTTACTCCTCGCTCTTATTCCAATAAAATTCTATTCAAACAACACCTGACACTTTGTCCGCGGAGGCTGTCAAGCAGCGAGCAAGTTTCTTTCCCGGTTACCTCTTTCACTCACTCGTTCCCGCCCTTCCAGTCGACGGTCCTTTGTCTACGACGCAACAAAGGAGTAGATTAGGCGTGGATCTACTCAGTCCAACGGCATGCATGGTATCGCGTATCTGGCCGGGCATATGTGTTCGTGCCGAGATAGACGCAGTTATGGGGCTAAATGTACCTGAATTGTACACGTAGATGCACACGGGCCGAACTGGGGTGCCCCATTGTCTCAGAACACGCGCGCGCATCGTCGAGATTAGCGTGAATACGCGACGTCAAATCGGCGACGCGACGCGACGCGACGCCCGCTAAGTATACGGATTTAATTTAATGATCAGACCGATAGAGTTGCGGCTGACGAGATACCGCGTACCGAGATAGGGCTCCCTGAAACCAATAGGGCGCCCAGATTGTTTCATTTTAGGGATGAAATTGAGACACTGAATAGAACACTGGAACTGGGATAGGATTTGGAATTGTAATGATGGTAGCAATCAGAATGTTAATTATGGTAGTCTGTAATGATAATTACAGCGATGGTAACGATGTGTGTGTTTATGTGGCTGTGTTAATTGGTGAGATGATATAGAATGTTAGTGTTTTTTGATGTTTCAGTATTCAGTGTTTGGGTATCTTTTTATTATTTGAATAATTATCCTTCGTTATAGAATACATGAAAATTCTATATAATGTTTCTTGTGATTTAATATAACTACTTTATGTAATTAATAAGATTAGAATGTTGATATCTTAATATTCAAATTAAGAAAATTGAAATTAATGTTACAAACATTTATGAACTCCCAAGTTATAGAGATTTTCAGAAATTCTATTAAAATATTTCTGTTACAAACGTTTACACTACAAAATAGTTTTACAAATTGAACTTTGATAAAAATATAATCGCTTTCCTTCCATTTAGTAAATTAGCATATTTCAAATCTTTTAAACCAACACTCACAACGTCACATAAACCTATAACTTTATTATCACACCATTCAGGATACATATTTGTATCAGAGTTCAATTTGTAAAACTATTTTGCAGTGTAAACGTTTGTAACAGAAATATTTTAATAGAATTTCTGAAAATCCCTATAACTTGGGAGTTCATAAATGTTTGTAACATTAATTTCAATTTTCTTAATTTCAATATTTCCTTAAACGAAAGGAAACGAGAAAGATAAATATTTTCCGGTAGCGTTCAGTGGAATGACTCACCGAAATTTGTTGGTAATTCTGGTATATTTCGAGCTGCGTATTCGAAACGAATTTATAAGCAATCTAGTAAATATATCCAGAAATGTAATTCCGTGGTAGGAGGATACGATTTCCCTAAAATGAATTATTGCTCCCGCGCGAATACGATTGACACGGATTCGCTAATGCACCGAAACGTTCTTGGGCATGCACCTGAATGCTCCAGCTCGGGCAAGGCATTATTGTTTCAGGACACGCACACGAATGATAGAACGTAGATTAGCGCCATCAAAGCGCCCACATTCGGCACACACAGAATTCGTGGAACGCTATTACGGGGATTGATTTGATAAATAAATGTTTGACGTGGTAACAGAGGAACCATAACGTTTGATTTGTCACAACAAAATTCATATGGATGTTAATTAATTGATCTGACACACGGAATTCGGAGGATCTTGTAAATCAAAATTGAATGTACATTTTTGAAAGAATACTGTGTTGATTTTATTGGTATCAATCCGAAGAATTAATAAATATAAATTACATTAGCGTAATTTTAATAACACATCAGTAACTTGAAAAATTCGATGCAATATTTTAGTACATGAAAACTGTTTAAATACGTTGTTGATTTAATAACTTCTTGTTTTTCTATTGTCCACCTAGTATTTTTTTAAACAATAAACAATCCTTAAGCATTTAAAACTGCGATAAATTTAAAAAGAAATATATTAGAATAAAAAATTAAATATTCTTCACAAAATCATTCAAAAAGATTCGTTACCAAAATTTTAAATATGATATATTTTCAGTTGTTTAACCCAGTTAACAATTGTAGAGTTACCGTGAAGTAACGTTATTTCTTAAATAAAGAAAATCGTGTAACAACTCGTGTTTATCATACCCACATTGTCTAATCTTCTTCCGCAATCGATTTCTCCGGTAGATTTCGTAATTAATACATTTCTCGTGCAATAAATTCGAAGATTATTGTAAGCTATTTTCACTGTCATAAATACAGCTGTAGAAGACGTCTTAGTATGGAATTTCATATAAAATATTTGCAATGGTGATGTACCTAATTATGTCGGGGAAACTCTCACGATCCAAAGTGGTCGTCAATTAACACAGTTGCTAAGCAGATTTAGCCGAGAAAAATGTACGCTCTCGAGTACCAATGATACTGTAACTACTCGACGGAGAGCGAAGTATACTGTCAATGGCAAAAACGTTATAATGTAAGATTGAACATTTACCGTGAGAACGTCCTCGGTTCACAGCTTCCGATTCACCTGGATGATCGACTTCCGCTTGTTATTCGACGGCTCTCGTTTTCTATACCAGAAGACAATCTGTCTCGTAGTCGCTCGGGCTCGAGTGAATAACCGTGAAAGTTTTGGGAATCGAGCCGGAAAACTGTAACTCGCGTCGACACTCACGCTTCGATAGCGCTGAAAGCAAAAAAGAGAATATCCTTGTAAGCATAATGTCCCGATATTAAAATTACAAGGTCGTCGTGTAATTTAAAAGATTTTTTCCTATTCATTTGTGTATGTAGACTCGTCAATTTACATGGAAATAGAAAGATCTTAATTTTGATTTTGATTGATTTATTACTGTGGTGTCGCGGCACTTTAATTTAGTTAAATAAGATGAAGAATTAAGAAATATTTTTAAAAATTGAGAATAGTATGTTATACGCATAATTGGAATGAAATCATTTTCTGTAACGGGAATAAAATTAAAATTTTGTTGATATAGAAATATTAATACTATCAATTATATTATTAATATTATAATATTATTAACTATATTATTAATGTTATAATATTATCAATTATATTATTAATATTATAATATTATTAACTATATTATTAATGTTATAATATTATCAATTATATTATTAATATTATAACATTATAACTTATATTATTAATATTATAACATTATAATTTATATTATTAATATAATAACATTATGACTTATGTAATGAAATAGTAAACTTAATCATCGAACAAATTATGACTTATCACATTCCGAACCGTTTACATTAATTAAATTTCATTTCCTACAATAATTTTTATTTATTATTACTTTTTATACTTTCTTTATTCCATAATTTTAGAACATTAACAAAATCAAATCGTTATTTCCCATTACATTGTAACGATAACTGTACAATGCTTAAAAAAAACATAATTCCTGATTCTTATTTAAAATTACAAAAGAACGATTACGTAATAGCAGAAATAATTTACACTGGCAGTGAAAACACTCTTCACAACTAACTTCTAACGCCAGGAAAAACCATCGAGCTTCCGTTCATACCGAAATGTTAAAATACTTTCAAATAACTCTCGCTCTACTTTCATCCCAGCCCGACAAGTAGTATTGGTCTTTGCGTGGTCAGACAGACTACTTCGCAAAGTTCCCTCGTAGAGAAAATGAAACTGTATTTCTGAATTTCCCGGCTGTGTACGTGTGCGCGTTTATGTACCGAGTTCTCCCTTCGACTGAAACGAAACAGACTGTGTCACGACTGAGAAGAAGGAATTGTGGAAAGGAAGAGAGACGAGTATAATTTAATATGACGCTCCTGCGAGAGAATTCCCGGCGTCAGCGGGCCGCCCGATTTTTCCAATTTGGTCTGAGTAAATTGTGAAGCATTCTTTAACACGTCGAATATCTATTCTGGGAAAGTATACAACGGTCTTTCTACTAGAGAAAATATAACATAGCTTCGAATAGAAATAATGTTCGTGACATATTTGCGTGTTAACACGTTGACTGCCACGATGGTCACCGAAGATAGGAATTTCCAAATTGCTGGAGAACAATTACAATAAGAAATAAAAATATTTAGTAACATAAGTAGCTAGATCATAGCGTAATACGACTACCGTGATACTAAACTATTAATAATTATTTTCAATATAATTTTCCTTTGTTATTAAAGAAAGAGTATTACTATTCAAAACGCTAGAAATTCTCGTGGCAGTCAATGTGTTAACGTGATCCCCGACCAAATCGAATTACTATAGTTCACTCGATTAAACGACGATTATTTGAAAAGATTTCAACGTGCAATAATAATAGTGCGATTCAATCAAATGATCTAATATTATATTTTTTCTATTCTGTGTATTTTACTGTATGAAATCGTGTGGCATTTAACGTGTTAAAGACTAATTTATGAAATTTTGATTTTTAATGAAACGGAGAATTAATGAAGGATATTACTGAGTTCGATAAATAGTTTTTCTTTTATTTTTCAATGTGATAGATGAATAAATGTTGTAAACATATAAGTGTTTGCACTAAGTGATGATAACAAGTAGAAATATTGTTGAATGTAATTAATCGAATATCTACATCATCAGATCTCATAATGGTATAATTGACTAACGTGTTCGTGAATAAATCAATTACTCCAAATAATATTTCCTTATCACAACCAACACGTTACCATAATTTTTCGGAGATAATAAACTCCCTTCAATGTTCACTTAATTTCTCACAAGTACCACCTAACGAAATAATAAAAATTTGGAAACTCTAAAATACTAAAACTAATCCCACTCTCCTATTTAAAATTCTAAACTTAACCCCTTGCCTTATGATTTATTTTTTAATTGTAATCGATACAACTACTTTATCATTACTCATTTACTAGGAAAAGAGCAAATTTTGAATTATGAATTAATTATCCATTATCTAATTACTTATATCAATTAATTACAACTCTATTTGAATGTTTCATAAGAACAAAAAATGTATACCACCCTTTATAGAAAAAGGAACATTTCAAACGCAAATGTATAAAAACAATTCTATCCCTTCAACGTAACAAAGTACTTTTTCTTGTTTGAAATTCGATACTTTAAAATTCAGAACTGTCAACGAATTCCATGATACCTTCCAACACTACCAAAACTTCCCAAAACGTATAAAAGAATAAATTTTGAATTATGAATTAATTATCTATTATCTAATTACTTATATCAACTAATTACAACTCTATTTGAATGTTTCATAAGAACAAAAAATGTATACCACCCTTTATAGAAAAAGGAGCATTTCAAACGCAAATGTACGAAAACAATTCTACCCCTTCAACGTAACAAAGTACTTTTTCTTGTTTGAAATTCGATACTTTAAAATTCAGAACTGTCAACGAATTCCATGATACCATCCGACACTACCAAAACTTCCCAAAACCCTTCTCAAGTATTTTCATCGTTAATACCAATCGCGAGCTCACAAATTCGCCGGGTCGAACTGCAAATAATCCCGCCGGGCAGAAAAGAACGAAACAGGCGTCGCTCGGTGAAACGATAATAACATACCGGCTGCGCTGACTCCCGATGCACGATAAGCGAGACGAAAATGGCGTCGGCGTTGACTGCGCAGATAAAGCAAGAATTCTATTATCGGAGGCTTAAAAATCCTGACGCGCGGTAATGCCGCTTCCTATTTGAAATTCAACTTTGTCAGCTCGGTCCGCGGGTACCGGTCCCAGCCAGAAATATTATATCAACTCCGCTGTTTCGCTTTGATGAGTACGGACACGGCGAAATAAGGGTGTACTTAATTAAACGAATTCCCCTCCGCCAGAAGAAAAATAAGAGGATTATTCTAAAGAAGCGACCAAATGTTTCTTTGTAACGGAAACAAGCCCTTAGACCAGCTGAACGATGCCGACGAGGGCGCAAAGAACAGGGCGAAAGGGGGAAACATGGCGGAACGGAACGGGGGATTTGTAACTGTGCGCCGCACAGTGGGTCGAACTCATCGAACACTAGGCATTGGGTAGAAAATAATTTTCTGCTACTGTTATTGCAGAACAAGTGTCCATTAAAAGTTCGTAACAGGAAACCATATTTTACAATTCAGCAAACTTCATTTGAAAGTCTCAAAACTTATGTACAATATTCTTCAGATTGCGTTCCGAGTTATTGTACTGGGAAAACGTGTTTACTTATTGTCACAGATAAAAACTGATTTGTTATTTCATTACGAAACCAAGGGGAAACGTATGTTCGCGGAGAACACACGTTTTTGCGGATCAATTAATGAAAGCGGGAATTAAACGGAAAATTTATACTTCGATAAAGTGTTTTGATAGGTAGAAAGGAAAACGCTGCACGTGTTGTCAATTTTGACTTGCGATTGAGGTTGAAAGAATAGATGTAATAAGTTGTGGGTGAATGATTGCGTAAATAGAAAATGTTAATGTTTTTTAAATATATTTTATCTGAGGGGGTAAGGAAGATATTATATAATAATTGGAGTGTGAGAATACGGATCTAATTATATTCACATCAAAGACAGAAATTTAAATATAATTTGATATTAAATAATAATTAGAGTGTGAGAATATGGACCTAATTATATTCTCATCGAAGATATAAATTTAAATATAATTTGATATGAAATAATGATTGGAGTGTAAGAATCCAGATTTAGTTATATTTAAATCAAAGACATAAATTGAAGTGTATTTAATTTGATTTTCAAGAGACTACTGTGGAAAGTGAACTAAAGCAAACAAGGAAGAAAGAAAGAGGTAAAGAGGACAAGAGAGAGATAGTGAGAGGAAGAGGGAGAGGGATATCGTGTGAGTCATCCATCAAGAGCAAGCACTATCAAGCCAGCTTCCTCAAATATTAACACAATGGCAACATGGTGCGTTCGGTAGCAACAAAGATCGTGCACGTCAGCTTATGATCCGGAAAAGCAAGGAAGATAGACAACATCCAGCGTCGAGATACCCAGTAGATAATTTTGTCTAGTTCAACAGAGTTGCTCGCACGTCGTTTCATTAAGTTGGACATCCTTTTAAAATCAACGGTTTTTAAAGAGTACTTGTTACAAAGATTGGAGAATTGTTAAAATTCCAAAAATGTTTGTCTTCTGTGATAATATTTACACGAATATATTGCAGATAATCAGAGAATGTTATTCTATAATATTCTTGAATGTAATTAAATAATTAATTAGAGAACTTCCTCGGTAGGTCAATTTTTAAAATATCTTCTTACAGAATAATTGTATATATTCTTTTAATGGAGCCATAGATATCAAATAAATCAACAAAAATAATCATAAACAACATTGCCCATCGCATTTCCCCGTTTCATGCAAGAAGACCCGGTAAACTCGTAGGCGAAGCCAATTTTGTTTACTAAATTGAGTTGCCCGCAGAAACAAACGCAATTATGGTACAGATTAATTTCGACTAGAATCAGTACATTAAACCGAAATTTGCTTACTCCATTAAGAGTTTTAACAAAGTTCCGGTCAAAATGAAAATCTCGTTAAACGCCCCCGAACTTTCCATAATACCAAGTTTTAAACAACGGCGCGAGTGATAAAATCCGTGGTTGAACGATAACTTCTCCGGAATCAAATTTCCGTTAAGAAAAGTAGCACCAACGAAGTTCAATTTAAA